ACAAAAAGAAAAATGGTGTCTTCAGTCATCATACTGTAAACACAAAGACACAAAGAAGTGGGATGTTCCTTACAGTAACTCTGACATGATGACCTCATTGACTGAGTGATCCAAAAACACACAGCATTTGGAAGTATTCACACCAAACACAGTTGGCTACTTCTGTATTTCTCTTGAGAATGAGTTTTGTTATACTCGGGCTGATCCTCCAGAATAACAAAGAGCTTTGTAACTCAGCCACACTAAGAGTGTGAGGTTTGGCCACTAGTCTGCAGCCAGACGGGGATGTATGATTACCAGACAGCCCTTACAAAGGTGGCCGTTTGTGTCTGTGCTCTCAGTTACGGCGGTCAGATCGGGTGTCATTGCTTTATAACCAGCCTTACCTTCGCAATTTCTAAAAGAGGCTGGGTTCGAGCACAAAATTACCCCACTCCACCTCTCCACACCTGCTACATTATTCAATCAGTCTTCACTCGAGAAGACCTATTTGGGGCTGTAGACAGACAGAAAAATGAACACTTTCACCATTTGTTTTCTGACTGTTGTGTTACCTACTATAGCAGATAAAAACAGTTCTAGTAAAGCAACTGGCAGATGGATATTGCACATTTTAATATTCATGTAAAGCAACTCATCTGGGTGGTAAGGCAAGTAATATACTGCATAAATATCTCCAGGTCACTTGAAAAAAACAACAGACATTGATGATGATAACAAACCTAAGGCTATTTCCACAGGAGGTTTACACAGATGCCTGCATGGATGCGTATGTATGTACATAGCTAACCTTACGGATTCAGATGCTGTCAGATTCTTTGAGCCTGATCCTGATCACATCCAGTTAAAATTTCAAGGGAAAATCCCCAAAATACAAGCTGAATTACATGAAGGACAGGAATACAAGATTACACAGTGTCTTTAGGGCTTCCTTTAGCTGAAGTTGACATGAGGAGTGCCAGAGAGGGCAGGAAAGCAAGCCCCCCTTTTGTTATCAGGTCACTGCTCCAGTATGATCTCTGCCATTGGGTCAGTGTGCCACACATGTCTCATCTAACTGGCTCGCTGTCAGGATGCGGTTGCCATGGAACATGTCCAGTTGGAGCAAATGAAATCCCTCCTTTCTAGTTTCCAGGCAGGATTCACATGCTGTGAATGTTTTGGTGGGAGACAGGCTGTGCGTGTGTTGTGTGTGTGTGTGTGTGTGTGTGTGTGTGTGTGTGGTGTGTTTGTGATTGATGCGTGTGCACATGTACACAGAGAATTAGATATCAAGAGGGAGAATGAGCTTTTGAGGTTACAGAGGAAGTAGGGCATGTGATTGTGCAGCCATGTGTGTTTGTGCGTGCACGGGTATGTGCATGCATGTGTCTTCTGCAAGTGTGTGTGGGTGTGCATGCATCGCTCTTCAGAAACAGCTTTCTGATGTAACACAAACTGATGCCTGCCATCTCTCTCTCAGGGTTCTCAGGCGTCTATGGGAACTTGTTTGTCAACACTTCCTACAATGCAGCAACAAGTCAATGATAATACTGTTTGTGCACTTAAGAGAGAAAGAGATACATTAACAGATATTTGATAGGCACCGTATTCTGTGAATGTATTCTCATTTTCAGTGAGAGTTTGGCTGGATAAGACGCACAATTGGAATTTGTGTGTGTGCACTTCACAGACTTTGAGACACGTCTTTCATCAACACAAAGCCATATTCCACGTTCTTATAGACATGGCTCAATTAGTTAAATCAACAATGTGTGAAATTTATAATTTATGTTCGTGGCTAGTGGTAAGACCTGCTGTAAATTCATCCATATTCATTATTTATGTTACAGAGGCCTGCCTATGTGTCCCACTGAGAGCTAATTTATGGCCCCAATGATTTCTGCAGCTACTCTCTAATGCTAATACATCACGGGCTAATGCATGTTAATGAATAACTTTGGTTTGTTTTCTTAAGATATATGAAGTGTTATCAATACTATATTTTTCATTAATATTTCATTTCAGGACTTTTCGAATAATAAACCAGTCAAACACTTAGTAATTAATTACCATAAAAGGTTATGTGACTCAACAGGATGCTTTAACTTGCATACAGTTTCTATGACAACAACCAGTCCTTAAAAGGACTCTTTCTCTTTAGTAATTACAGGTGTTTTCCTGATGGTCTCTTAAGTGGGGGGGGGGGGGGTTCCTTTGTTTGGCTGGAGCACAAAAGGAAGCTGCAACTAATGCTCCCACATCTTTGCGCCTTTTGTTGTTTACAGAGGTCACTCATGCAAGAAGTGATCAAATTTCCAATATCACAGTGAACGAGGAAACCAATCCCCTCTTCCACAGTCCATCTCCATCTCTTTCGGAGAGGCCGCAGGTGCGCCAAAGTCCAAACCTAGAGGTCTATCCAATTCTGGCAGGACAGAGGAGGCAGGGACCCGTGACTTCTCACACAGCTCAGTGGTGGGACACGATCACAGCTGAAGGACAGGGAGAGAGAAAGAAGCAGTTGGGGGCAGGGTGATGCTCTGTGAGAGAATGCAGAGGGTCGGTCTCAGCTCCAGCTGTCCGGGGGTTTATTGATCGGTGATAGCCCTGAGGGGGGAGGGGGCAGATCACCAGCACTGCCCTGTCCTCCATAACAACATAACAAGAGGACTACTAGAATTAACTCACAGTGGACATTGTTAACCGTCAAGCTATGAGCTGACTGTAAATGACCTAGAAATAAAAGGAATGGTTGTATATCTGAACTGAAAAATGTTTGTGGTTATATTGGGAATCACTCAAAACTGTCTAGATCTTGATCTTTTTATGCACCTGTAGTAAACAACATTGTGTGCTTGTGATGTTTGTACTGTCTGTAGCCCGTGTTTACAACATTCAGTACTGCCATAAAGTAAAACTAAGTTGAATTAAAATAGTTTATAATGAAAAAATAAGAGTTAAGCTGAATCATTTCCTTTAACAAATTAATAAAATTCAGCTTGGTTTCTTTTTTATTAGCTGCTTCCCCAATATTGTTAATAACAGAAAAAGATTTAAGTGGGGTGGCATGAATTTTTTTTACTTCTTTTTGACATAAAGTCTCCCATGATGACTGTTTAAAGGCACAGTTGGTGGTGTGGCAGTTAATTTATGTCAAAAACCTCTCTTATTTTTTGTAACACAAACAACTTATACATGTGTTTCCTCCCACAGCTGCCAAATTAGACTGATCAAGATCAAGGCCACTTCCAGCAGGATCTAGGTCATTTCCACTTATAATAATGTAGAAAAAGTCAGAACCCTTGCTCAGTGAGCAGTTGACTTGTAATTAACCAGAACATACTGTTCAATTAAAATCTGGCATTTAGGTGTGAATTATAAAATGAAATGTGAAACAGTCAAATGATGTATATATGCAAAAACATTATAGGATGTAGCCAGCCATAGAAGTTTTCATGAGTTAGTATTATTTATATATGGAGGGTATTTAACGTTCAGCTCATTGTAGCCTTTAGGTGTTCCAGTAGTTTCTCTTTAATGTCATGTGTGTTTGTAGCCTAAAGCTTCCTGGTGACAGCAGTTCACAGGTTTCTGACCAGATGAGCACAGCGGTAGCGCGAAAGCGGTCTCGTGCTACGGGGAATTTCCCGTCCACGTGTCTGAATACGCGATGGAGAAGGCGGGATAAAAACAAAGTCGGCGATTGGTTACATCGCGCGAATATAAATCAGCCTTAAAGGGACAGACGCCGCTAATGGCCGACAAGCACACAGTTGTTCGGCAGACTCACCCGCGCCTTTAAGGAAGGTTTATTTACTAACTTTCAGCGCCACGCCCGGGCGGGCGGAGTCTGTATGGAGCTGACGTAGCGAAATTAAATCGGCTTCTTGCAGTTTTCCTCGCAGAATGGAAGTAGTCGTGGAGGCGATACGGACTAAACTCGCCTGATTTGCCAGGATATTGAAGTCGTCCCTGTTTTTTTTTTTTTTCTGAGTATAAGACAGCCATTACAACGAAGCCCACCTGCGTGGTAAGTTCCCTAATAACACATTTAAATGTCGTTGAATACTTTACCCCAGCTGGTTTATAAGTGACATCGGTGTCCTTAGAAAGGGAGCAACAAACAACGTGCCGCGGTTGTCGTTGAAACAGCTGCAACATATTTGTTTCGACATGTGTCGTGTTTATCACCGCACTGAAGCGTCAAAGCAGTCCGAATAAAAGCAGTATTTAGTGTAACTCAGCCCGGTCATTCATACAGCAGAGGTTTGAATTATACCGGCTTTCCCGGTTTGTAGTCCTCAGTCGGTGAATGGACTTCATGGCTGTTATTTTTTGCGGCGAGTGTGCCTGTCTGTACTGAAATGTAGTGACAGCCGGTGTCTCCACAGATTACAATGAGTTTGCGCATGTAAACGTGTAATTACACATATTAGACGTGTGTGTTGTAGGCTCTTCTAAATGTGTTTTTTTTTTAAACTTTATTTTTTATCACTGTATAATCCTCTGTGATATAATTATTTCTTAGGACAACAGACATTATTAGGCTGCGGATTATTAACTCGATTTTTGGATAAAATCGACCTCCATGTGTCATTTTAGTCTTGATATGCATAATGGAAATGGTGCGATGTGAGGCTCTTGATGCCATTGGATTGAAACTGTGTCAGTAAGAGAGAACTTCCTCACCCTCATCCTCACCCTCAACATCCCCCCTCCCTGTTGGGGTTATTTTATTTGCAGCAGGGGGAGCCACTGTCTGACACAAACACTCAGCTCACTACCAGGCCAGTAGAGCAGTACAGAAAGCAACCCTTGGTATCTGGAAGTTTAGCCTATGTTTTTTTTTTTTTTTTTTTTTTTTCTGAGCCCTTCCATGTTCTTACTCTTTGTTTGTCAAAACAAAGCATTAAGTGGTTTTACACACGGGGTTTATTGTGAAGGCACACGATATATTGTGAGGTCTGGGCATGCCAGAGGCAGGCCAATCTGCTTATGTTGGGTGAAGAAATGAAAACTCCTTCTCAGGGAGCTGGCACGCTGACAGACCAGGGTAGAGAGAGCGGTTTAGGATTTTCCTCAAAGACTGTCATTACCCTTTTGCTGTGGACCCTAATTTGGAAGTGTGGTAGTAGTCTAACCCTGTATTACAACTCGATGGTGACTTGGGGGTGAGCTGGTGAGGCAACTTGAATTTCACCCATATTTTGATAACTCTTTGACACACTGTATGATTCGAGGCTGAGAGGAGTGCATCATTGACACTGGAGATATTCCCAAGTGTTCCTTAAGATTCTTGCCACAGTGTATATTGATTTATGATCATGCTTTTTTTTTTATTGTTCCTGTCATCAAGTTTACATACTGTGTAAATGTCAACTTTTTAGATGTGCACTAATACCTGCAATTGTTTGCTGTAAAAGTATATTACCTTATAAATTAGTAATCATGGAACAGTTATTTATGAAGTCTGGCTCCTTTCCACAGAGCTGCTTAGCACAGACAACAGAGATTCTACCTCTCATTTAACCAAGCCAAACTCCCATTTATGTAACCGTGGCTCAGCCGAGTCTCCTGACCACAGTGAATTGTGTGGTTTGATCACTGAGATGAACAGAGCCATTTGTCTAAATAAGCACTGAGCTCTTTGCCACAAATGAAGGCAGACCGGTTGCTCATTTTCTCTTCCCAAGTTGTCCACTGTGGTTTTATTGATTTGAGGGCACTCTTTATGAACCAGACAGGTTGTCTATAACTATAATGAATGCTTTGGAGGAATGAACATATAATGAAAGTGTCTGAGATCATCTCATCAGGCCTAATGCAGACCTGTCCAAGGTCACCTTCATTAGTGAAGTAAAAACTTGGGATGCCTTTGATTCATACACTCACTGGAAGACAAATGTCCTATAATCAGCTGCAGCAGTGACCTTTATTTCTCTGTCCTGTTACTTTTAAGGCGGCTCATCTTATAGTGCCCCCGTATGGACGATGAGGAGGACGATGTGTTTGAGCCAGACCCCCACTGCTGGCGCACCGCATTCCGGGAGATAAAGTGTGAAGACCGGGGCACGCAGACACCTGGCCCTGCCCTGGCACCGTACAACGGCATGCTGCCGTGTGGAGTCGCAGAGGAGCCCAGACCACTCTTCTACGGTGAGGCTGATGACATACCGATTTCAAAAGAGAAAAAGGAAACATTGCCTTGTGTGTGATAACCAGTGTTATAAAACTCCAGCACGAAACTATAATGTGAGACTTACTGTGAGAAATGGGTAACAATGTTGCTGCACTGATCTCATCCCTGGCGCCTGATAGTCACCATCACAGTGGCTTTTATGGTCTGTATGGAGTGTACCCAGCTGCTTTGCTATTCAAAAGGCGCCAGACTGGCATTGTAACTGAAACGACGTGACAGAAGTGCTTACCTGCGTAAGCAGTAACTGTAAAGAGAACTGATTATCATCAGTGACAGCAAAGTTACATTGGCGCCTTATACAAGTAATCATTCCAAAGTATCTCCATGACAACCGACTGACCTCTAATCTGTTATGTGGGTTTGTTGTGGGTGAGTGACTTGACACTCTCTAATGACTCACAGTGTTCGATTGAATAGAAACACAACAACTGTGAAAGTTGTGGTTAAAGCCAAGCGTTCCGATTGGTCAAAGACACGTTCAGCAGTGCTTGGCTGCTCTTTCTACTTGCATTATCAGCATAGACAGTTAAAAAAACACCCTGTCAGGTGTCACTGCTGTACTTACATTTTTGTGGTGTTGACAAAATAATAAGTCTCGGCCTTGACACTCAACAGGCAACGCAGGTTTTCGATTACACTTCCCGGCACACTTTGAGCTTGTTGGGGATCAGGAAGCGAGGCGACAAGAAAGCGAAGGGGAGCACAACGGGATGGAGCAGCTTCCCCGGCAGCAACCTGTGGCCCGCAGTGTGGAGGCCTGCATTGGCCAGAAACTCCAGCTGATAGGAGACCAGTTTCACCGGGAACACCTACAACTGGTGAGGAGGAAATATGCATCCTGCTGACTGTACAAACTCAGACACTTTGGCCTCTAGTTTGATGGCTGTAAACAAGTGCAACTGGCCAATAATACCCCGAGCAGTAATCGAATCTCCACTCAGTGCCCTTCATGAAGTGTTGTGTGCCGGCAGTACTGATGTAGAAGTGTTATACATTGTATAACTATGTAGATTGATACCTTTGACAGCCCCTGGACAAACAGAACTCTTTCATGTAACTAGCCAGATAGCCTTTAGAATAGATGGGACACTCAAGCTGAGCTGGCAAATGTAAATTCAGTAAAGCCAGGAGGATGCCCTATTATACAAATCAGTTACTTTAATATTTTATTCATAACTCATATGATAAAAACACCATAAAAACATCTTGGTTCTATAATGAAAAAGTAGTGAAACCTTTCAAACCTTATTATTTCTTGAGAGGTGAGAGGGTTGGTGCCCCCTGGGATTATTTGAAGCTGTATGCTAATGTCAATGGGAATTGTTTAGTGTGGGTCTCAATTATCAATTAAAACTTACTGTTAACTTTTGTCCTATCATCTCATTGTGGCTCATTATGTCAGAATCTCATATGGGTTGTACATGGACAACGCACAAACCTTTAATTTTTAGTAGCCCTACTTTTTATGTCCATATCCACTGGCCTTTGCAGTATGCTGCAGATTAAGCATACCTCTACTGCCATCAAAGTAGACGTTGTTGTGTTTGTGTGTGTCTTAATTTATGCGTGAGTTAAAGTCAAGGCAGAAAAAAGTGCACTCCACACATTAACAACACCATTCATCTACACAGTCTTTATTCATATTTAGCTCCCATGTTGATTTATGGTGGTGAGAAAGGTTTGCTCTCTTTTATTGTGTTTGCTCCATATTTGTTTTGGAGAGCCTGTGCACATGCAGAACTTACGGAGCCCAGCATTTCACCACCACCCCCCCCGCCCCTTCTACCCCCAAGCCAAAGACATTGCTGAACCAGGACTGCCCTTCCCCCAACCTCGCCAACCCCAGGCCCTCCCCCTACCTCCTCTTCCTGTTTATTTTCTCTCTCTCTCTCTCTCTCTCTCTCTCTCTCTCTCTCTCTCTCTCTCTTTTCTCATGTTTCCTCAGTGTTCTGTGGAGGCAAGTGGCATGTAGGATGCCTGGCCTCAAACAACACACTGTGGTCAGGGTGACACTGTCCACTGATCCCCTGCGCTGCATACTGTTGCTTGTGTTGTACAACCGCGTTATTTCATTGGCTGCAACATCAAAAATATACATAAACCCCCAAGAGATTTTCTGCTGAGAGTAAGTCTCTTGTTACAAGTGGCTAACAGTCTAGCAAACTAGCAAAGGCACATTTAAACACACACATACTGATAGGTCCAGGAAAAAGCAGAAGTGGCGGGAGTAGGTAAACATGTTGTAACGCGAAGCTCAGCACATGAGCCCCGAGGGGGACAGCTGTGCTTCCAGGGAGGCTCCAGTCAGCCCCTTCCCTCGGCCACAGGAGACACCAAAATAAGAGGTCTACGCAGCCATAGAGAGAGGGGGGTGGGATCCATAATGATGGTATAAGCAAGTGAAGGAGGTTTGGAAATGAGTCTCAAATGATCAAGTAACAACCATCTTCAGTTGTCTTAAAACCTCCCTTTTGGGAAATGGGAGGAAATGATATAATTTTTTTTTTTTTATTCATTCTGTGTGAAGTGCGAGACAGTTTCTGATTTTCTCATGCGCTTATCAAGTTATTTATACCCCTGCGGCTCAGCATGACTCATGTATTGTGACACTGGTAAATGCGAGGCAGACAACCAGACAGTCAGACAGTAAGGCAGGAGGGTTGCTGTGATGTGTGGGATCTACTGACGCACACGAAGGCAGGCCTGGGTCAGGGGACGAGGAAGTGGCTTGTGCTCCTCTTTTGCTGGTTGAGTAAACAACAGAGAGGACAGTCAGAGTGAGAACGTCCCTGTGAAGTCATATCCTGAAGCTACAAGTGACACAGACACACTTGACTGTGAATGATAGTGAGCAAACAATATAGAGAAGAACGCTTTTGCTTGCATCTAATATTAACTTGCAAAAGAGAGCAGTATGGCTGCTGCTGTTGACACTTGTCATTCAAGTTTCTGTTATTGTGTTTGAGTGTGTGTGGCTTGAGGGATATTTTTTTTTTTGCCCAAACACTGATGTGTGGCTTTGGATGCTCGATGCCACTAAAGTCTCTGTAATTGCTATTTCTAGCTCTGGTTGTGTAATTAATTGTATTGTGTATGCGTGTGTACAGGCTCATGCATGAATACACCCATACTTGTTTTTCTGCTTTTGGCTGTCTCTCACCTCTCACTATCACATGTTCTGACAGTCAGTGCGAAAACTCTCACTCCATAATAGTGGTACTGCTAGTCAGTTTTCATTCCTCTCCGCTCCTGTCAGTAGGTGATTGTAGTCATTCAGTGCAGACACTTGTCCCTGAGCCATCCAAGTGCCTTTGACTGTCACCTCCTTGATGGATTTGGGAGTAATGTGGCTGTGAGTGTTCTCCATGGGAGCCCGCCGCCCCCGGCAAAAAGAGGGATTAGGTAGCAGAGGAGTGCTGGTGGATGCTGACAGATAAATTGCTCCTCAGTCAGAGAGGGCTGGAGGGGACGCCGAGGTCCCCAGAGGATGGCTGACATTAGCCGGCCCGCCATTTGAGACACGGCAATAATGACAGCCACAATGGCAGGAAGACTGCTCCGGCCTGCACAGGGCAAGGAGCAGAGTTAGGTTTCATCCCCATGTTTTTTTAAGAGAGACGACTCCTGGTGCTTTCGATAGGAGGTGTTGAAAGCAGGGTTGAATATCGCCTACGTGTGTGTGTGTGTGTGTGTGTGTGTGTGTGGGTGTGTGGGTCTGCACACACCCAGTGTTTGTGGCACTCTCTCCTTTCAGCACTTGTGGGGATGGGGGGTGGAGTTGAAATAAAAACACACAAAGGTGGTTTTGGATATTTACTTTTACTTTTATTGTTCTGTGATGATTGTTGTTCATGGTGATGTCCGTTTGTGCTGCTGTCTATTATCTAAAACCACTGCTCTTTGTTTGTATTTTTCCTTGGCTCCTTGTCTCCTCCCTGATGTAACTAATCCAGTGGTCCTTGCTATTGAGGCCGGCCTGTTTGCTTAAGAGATAAGGCAAGCGCTTCTGAGCAGCTGGCTGGACAGACAGCCCGCATGGGACACTGATAAAGCACATCAGGCTGGTGTCAGAGTGACGACACTGAGCATCTGGCTAGACTCTGCTGCTCTATCGCTGGCTAAATTTAGAGCCCGTGCCTCATTTTGACAGTTGGTGGCGTGACTCATGACTAAGTTGCGACACGCCTGTGCACACCTCTTTTTCTCATTCTCTCTTTCTCCCTGTTTGTCTCCGAGCTTGGTAGAGTGGAGGGCAAAAGGTCACTGTCAAAGGGACATTCTGTTTCTGTTTATAAAGATTAATTGCTTCTCATGTAGCTTGAAGTTAATACACAAGCTTTGTTGCGTAATAAATCCCTCAGTTCACTCAAATCACTCTCGCAGCTTTTACTATCTAACATTAAAACTCTAGTTGTAAGCGACTGTAGTCTCTCATATAATTTAGATTTAAAAGACTTAAGACATGCCAGTGTTTATCAAGTCAAGCCACCTTGGCTGCCAGCTCCTGTGCTGCATATAAATATTGCCTATGTTTATATGAAGCAAACATTATGCTTTTATTATGTTCTTATCAGAATAACCCCAGTTAAGATTCTTATAGAAAACAGAACTGGTTTTATAAAGATTCCCAGCAGTCTTTGATTAGTTTTTTTTTTACTTCTTGATTTTTCTTTTGAACAAAAAGCGAGTAGTAAGTTACACACATGCTAGTTTGAACCTGGCAAAGCTTATGCAACACCCTGCAATGTTCACCACAAATTGATAAGAGTATAGAAACCCAGAGGCTTATCACAATGGCACTTCTGTGGCTGGTAGCTAGGTCAATGTTTGGACACCACCTTAACAGTCATGTAAATATGGCATATCTAATCTCGGCCTTTAGATATTTTGGTTTTTGTAAACAGTAACAGAATGTAGTACACAGTGCATTGTCATGAAAAAGTCTCTCTCAGTTTACAACCCTTACGGCCTGAAAATAGCCACGGCATTATCAGGCGTGGCGGAGTCTGCCTTTCGTCTGCAGATGAGCTGTTGGACTACTGTACCTCTCTTGTGTGCAGATACGTGTTTTCCAGAGGCTCCCTGCCTCTCATCAAGAGCTCCCTAATCCCATTTGGTGCAATTATCTTATCTCAGCTTCTCAATGGCAGAGATAGCATTATCCCCCTAATCGCACACAATCCAATTGGCTCACAAACCTGAGAGAGTCTCCTCCTGAGCCACTTGCTGCTGGTCTCTGCCAGAAAGATTAGAAAAAATGTGGTTGTATGATGAATGTGTTTGTAGCTTGTAGAGTGTCTGTTGGGAAACCCGGATTGTGCAGGGATCCCGCACACAAAGGGAGGCCTCTCTTTAATAAGTATTGCTGGGGACAGAAGCAGACTGTTGTGAAAATATCAGGATTGTTCCGGTGTCTGGTTTTGTCGTACCCTCTTCTCAGTTGACCCTTTTCACTGCGCTCACTGTCAACCAGCCCACATCACAGCCAACACAAACTTCACTAGTGACTGTTTCACTAGTTTCAGAAGAGTGCACTAACCTGCGTTTGTATCGTCTTTATTTGTTGTTTCAGTATCATCGAAACCAAAGGAACCAGGGGCCGCTGTGGTGGCGCCTGGGCGCAGCTCTGCTCAGCCTTCTGTTTGACAGGGGGTTCATTGCTGGAAGAGGTGGAGCGGGACGGAGGTGAGGGGGTCCTCCCTTTATACCCCTTTTCTTCATCTATCTGAGGAACTGGACTGCTAATGGCACTGTCAAATCTAACACGGGTCTGTTTTTGGGGCGGAAAAAGAAAGGAGACAAAAAGTCACCGCGGGACGGAGACAACCAACTTTTATACAAGGTCTTGTGTTTTTTTCTTTCCAAGAAGATGCCATGATTCTCCGAGATTCATCCACAGGACAATGTTCATATTTTGGTATACGTGTGGTGTAGTAGTTTTGTACAGTACATTGTTCTTGTTACATTTTTTGCACTTCAACATGTATCCATCTTTAATGACCTCCACAGATCCTGGGAATGCCTTATTCAATGTATTCTGCCAGAATGAGTATTGAGCAATTTTGACAGGCAAGATGAGATGGTTAGGAAATGAGAGGAAATATGATTTTAGGTTTTCTTTTCTGAAGTTTCCCAGGTGACCAGACAAGTTGATTTACTAATTTCCAAAGAGGCAACTTCTCAGAACAAAGCAATTTGCACCTCACCTCAATGGAACATTTATCTTTCTTATTTTTCTTAATTTTGCGTTTATTTGTTTTCTCACTTCTCCATTTTCTTCGGTATGGTATTAAGTTTGAACATGATCCCTCAGTATCATTTGATCAAGTCTGCACACCTTGACTTGTAATCTGAATATCTTTTCATGCACCCGTGTTTTAAGGCAAGCCTTTCTCCAGTCATGTGCTACATGTCAAACAATTAGAACATTTTGATTTAGTTTGTAAAGTAATGGGGTGGAGTTAGCAGTACTGAACATCGGTGACTGGTTAACAAGCCTGGTGACTGCTAGCAAACCTGTGAAAAGATGCATGAAAAGATGTGTAGATTTAAGTTCTGTTATGGTGAGTTTTGTATGCATTTTGGAGGTCTAGTACCTGTGCACTAAATTTTAACATTAGAGTAAAGCACATAAACACTTAGGAAAACTATTTGGCCAAGTCTACCGTAATGATTCAAATTTAAATTTTAGTGAGAACACCAGATACTCTTTCTTCAGTTTAAGTTCTCCCTGTGTTTTAGATGTGTTCGTTTCATGTGATTGTTTTCAGACCTCCATGCCCTTGAAGTGGAACTGTGGATCCACTGTTTTTGCACTAGACGTACACCCTTCAAGAGCTCAGAGAGTTACCAAGCTAACCTCTGGCTTGTATGAAGGTTTTCAGTTCTAACTTGTTTTCTTGCCACAACATTTCGGATGTATTCACTCTTATGTCCAAGACAAATAATCAATGTTGAGACCCGACTGAACGCAGCCTGGAATCTGGATTGGATTTGGGTTCTGGAAATTTCTCGTACCAGTGTTTCAGGCTACAGTAGACAGTTAGAGCCACGTGCCTCCATTGAAAGGTTTCTGTCCTGGTTTGTTTTTCACAGTCCATGTGTTTTGAACACCAAACGATACTGCATAATCAATCTGTGAAACAGATCTTCTCAGGCTTCTTTTATGGGGTTTTACATAATTTTATATTCTGATCTTGTGTTGTCTCTGGTGCTCAGATCCAGATTGGGGACATTAGTAGTACATATAAGCACCACTGACTCAGCAGACAAATTACAAAAAGACAAAAGTGAAAATGACTGTAATTATTGTTGAAATATGAATATGTTTAAAGACACTGTTGACGATGCTGTTTGTTATGTTTTCCATCGCTGAACCCAGGCCAACTTTTGGACCCAAGGAGCAGTACATATCAGGGGTCTGTAATTACTTGCTCCTTACAATGTGTCAAGTTTATCACTGCATAATTAGGGTTTCCTCTCATTTTCTTAAAGATGTCTCAGGGACGGACTGTGTGGGCTACTGGTAACCTTGAGAATCTGTTACATGGTTAGAAGAAAAGCAGTGTTTTCACCCATTTATTTATGATGAAACCTCCCGAGGTATTTGTCAAGTCTCTTATTTTCATTTCAGTTTTAAAAAAAAATCATCTTGGCCAATTTCTTAGCACACACATAAAGGTACAGTTTGACTGAGGAGACTGAGGCTGACTTGCTGACTGTGGTGGTGACGGGGGCTACTGAGCATGTAGTAGTAGGCGTGTGAGGTGCACTGAGTGTTGTTGTGGTTATAGTTTCCTGCGGATCCTGAACGCTGAGCCAGTCCCTGTAGCGCCCCGTCTCACCATTGGCTCTTGGCGTCCTCTTTGTGCTGCTCCTTTATTACATGGGTATTGTTCATCGGTTCATTTTTCTTTGTAATTTATTTTTTACCGTCTTATTTATTTTTGTACATTTGCCCATTTCTACTGTATACACTTGTGTGTGCAATTACTTCTTATTTTCCTGTTTTTGTTTTAGTCTTGGACTTCAGTTGTTTGACTCTGTGCAGAGCAGGTTGGTTTGTTTCATGTGATTCTCAACCCAGATTCTACTTTTTGTCTGTCTCCTGCAGGCTGTAAGAAATTAGACCCTTTATGAAGAACAACAGCTATGGTCAGTTTGCATACATGCATACATGCTAAGTTGGACTTCAGTGTTGGTTCCACAGGGTCATCTGTCAGAACTTCACAGATTTGATGGGGACAATATTGTGCAGAGGAAGTAGTGTATTCATCCATATATCCAAAATGTTACTATTAGACAACATTATAACTGACAGAAAATTCACAATGACCACAGCTGCAGCTCTTCATGAAAAAGAAAAACTACAAACCTCACCTTTGAAGCCTACATGTGTTTGATACTCAAAAAATATATTCTGGGTAGAGTATTTCACTTAAAAGCTTGTGATTTTCCAGGGATGGGCCCAACCAATTCAGACCTTTTTCATTATCTCTCACCAGTCATAATGGGTAGATTTACAATATGTGGTTTAGAAAAGCAGCAGCTTCGATGCAGTTTAACCTTTCAACAGGATATGACCTTTGCTTTATAATTAATGAGTCATCACCCATCCCACCCATTTCTAACGATACATATGGTATTAGAAATGCTTCAAAACACACAGAAAATACTCTTCTCGAGTCACAGGGCGTTAGTTTATGCATTCAATTCTTTAATCTTGATCATTGTGTTGTAATCAATATGCACTGGAAAGTACTTTGTTTCTGTAGATCCCATGGGTCCCTTATCTGTTGTGTGTTAATGTATAGTATATACTCTGGATTGTTCTCTTGGGCTAATCTTGCCATGTGTCAGACGTATATATCTGTGCATCGACCAAGTAGGCTTGGATCAATGGCCTGTTTGATTTATTGGAAAGGGAAACAAGCCACCGTGGTGCCCTGTATAATTTTTGTTAGAATGAGGTTCCCAAGCTGCACTCATCACATTATATGTGAGTGTGGAGAATCCCGAGAGTGGGACATGTATTTTATGGAAACCGTCAGTGTCTTGAATTTTGTAGTCCACTTTATATAAATTTGAAGTTTTACAAGGAAGGTTTTGATTTTGATTTTTTTTTTTAACGATAACATTTCTTCTTCATGGTCTTTCTTAACTTTTTAAAATGTATTTTCTTAAGAGAAGGGTTCTGTTTTTATAAGGACAGTTCATGCTTGTAAAATAATTTTTAATGCGAGTAGGATCCTTTTGAAGTCCATGAGATCAAGGGCATGTTTTTTTATATAAAAATGAACTTGCAACATTCCTTGCACATCTCATCGTGGTGTATAAACAAAACCAAGCAAACCAAAATAATTCATTGTTGTGGTTAATTTGGCTAATGAGCTGATAGCAATGAAATATTTGCCCTTCTTTACAGAACAGATAAAATGTACATGTATTTGTAAAACCCTGGAATATGCCTTTAACTGCTCAGTTTCAACGAAGTCTTGATTATCACACACTCTCTGTTATACCAAGAAATGAGACCCAGCGAAAATGTAGCATTTTTGTAAACATTGACTGTGTGTTTTCGAGACTCTACTGTGCACTCATTTTTGTGTTTATATATATTTTTTGGTTGTTGATATAATATGGAAGTAAAGACAATTTGTTATGTAGTGCAATATGCTGTACATATGGAGCTTTGCTCTACAAATCTTTTTTCTGGATTTCTTGTTGTTTATTGGTACTTTTTTTCAATAAAATTTTATTGAAGGTGTCAAGCTGAGTCAAGTTTATGTTTGGATGACAATATTACATTACAGCATCTCAGTTGGCAATGTGTGAGAAAAACCGGAGAAAACATGTGAGTGAAATACCACTGCAGTGATGGCTATGGAACAATAGGTTAGGAATTAAACTTACAGAGATAAAATTCTAGTTATAGGTTTATAACGAGTCCAATGTTTCACACCTGGAACTGACCAAAAAAAAGCTACAAAAGAAGAATGAGTTTCCCTCCTTTGCTCTGTTAACACTCATTTGAGCCTGAGCTTTTATTTTAAGGAGTTCTATTGTGAAAGTAAGCCACTGATGGATTAGCCAAGTGTCTGAGGCTAGCCAGGCATTCAAAGCCGGCCAGGCGTTTGGCAGAGACTGTGACCATCACATCCCTCCCGCTGTTAGGTCATTAATTTATTGGGCGCAACGGGGCTTCCAACCCTCTCTAATAACTGTTGTCTGCACTCTACACATACGCATACAAGCAAGTGGTGCAAGACAACTGGATAAGTAAAGAAGAGTTACCTCACACTGCATTACTGTTACTTTCTAAAAGCTTAAGGCCAATGCTGCTGAGCCTGCAGATTAGTTACACTGCAGCATGGATGCCCTCGAGACACGGGAGTGATTGATCACTCATGACACATATAAACATAAAAGTTTAGTGTGTGTTGCTGGTCTGTGTTAAGTGCAAAAGTGCAGTCTACTCAGTGTTTAAGACAGTGTATTCATTTCTATGGAAGATGTTTTTTTTAATATCTATCCAATACAAATGTTTAGGACTTTCCTATCCATCCTCACAATCACGCCCTTGTTGTCATTCAACAGACCAGACAACTTACAGTCACATCCCTCAGGGCTGACGCGTGGCACTTCCATTGTTGTGCATGCCAGGTACGGTTTCATTTGCTCCACAACACCTGACTCACCTGTTTGGCCACTTCAAGCAAAAGAAAAAGTCCCTTGTCTGTGGCCCCTCCGTCACAAACGCATGCATACAATGATGTGTGCCAGAGGATGTGGTTGAAACAGAACAACAGCTTCAACCCGAGTCACGGTTGGTTTAGCTTGCACAACTGTTCAGTGCCCCCCTCCTTATCCTTTCTTAGGTGTTTTAAGTGTTGGAATTTCAAGCCTTAATAGGAGCTAATTAACAGTGCTAGTTATACCACTGTCATAACATATTAAGATCATGTGACTTGAGGACCTAGTGTTATCTCTGCAGAGGGGGTTGCTTGCTTTTTTAAGATATTATCCTAAATTTTAACCTTATGGCAGTAGCGTGCCAAGGATGTCCCCTGCCTCCTTTGCCGTTTACCTCGGCTTCATGGCTCCTACAAGCCTCTCCTCTAGGCTCAGCACTTTAATGGGGAGAGCATTGGCTTTCCCTGGCCCAAACAATGGCTCCTCTGTTCCCCTGGCCTGGCCGCCAGCTGAAAGAGACACCCATTAGAGAAGCGTCTATCTCTGGGGTCAGGCCCAAGGGTCACGCAACAAGTACGGCTCTTGTTTATGTCTGCAAAGCCAATCAAAACACTGCAGCCTACGCTGTTAACTCCTACTTGCCAGGCTCTGTGGCAGACTGAAGAGGAGTTTCTGCTTGAGCTAAAGTCACAGAGTGCAACGAATTCAACCACAGCTTCAATTTGTCCCTCCTACTAAAGTGCTAAAGTGGTGCGTCATGTCACTAAGTGAATAAAGTAGCTGCGTGAGAGAGAATAACAGCAAGTTAGCGTTGACAGGCACCTCAGCACCTGCTCCGCACCACCAGCCGCAGATTCTCCCCCCAAGCCTTGAGACCTCTTCAAGTGGATCCTCACTCCAGCACACACAAGCAATTACTAAATGATCACCTGTGAGCTCGCCCTTTTCATTGAGCTATAATTTAATGTGGAGTTAATTTTAATGAGTCTGAAATTACATTAATGAGTTTATGACTCTTTTAATTTGCTAAAGTAGTGCTAAATGAATTGGGTTTAGCTTCCATTAGATCAGTGAGCAAGCTTGTTTATCACATCTAAAGGTGCAGCTCCAACTGGAAGTGATGTACATATCAGGGGTTCCTGTCCAAAATAAGAGAGACAAGAGGTTTGACAGAATTCATGGATTGCCATTACATTTTGTACATTCAGTGATAAATCCTACTGACCTTTCCTCCATTTTTGGTTTATAGTGAAAACTCCACAGCTACTGGATGGATTGCATTGAAATTAAGTAGAGACATACATGCCCCTCTCAGGATGAATTGTAATAACTTTCGTGATCCTCTGATCTAATGGCTTCACAAGGTCAAGTTTTAATACTTACGACCATAACAACCATAATATTGCAAAGGTAATAACATACCCATCAATCTCAGCTGTATGCTATTTGTTCTGTGCTAATTACCAAATGTTAGCATGCTAAGATCTTGAATTAAGATAGAAGAACATAGTAAACATTAACCCTGCTAATTATCAGTATGTTAGCATTGTCACATTTCATGTTAGCACACTGACTGATTAGCATTTAGCTGTCTCCAAGTACAGCCTCACAGAGCATGAGCATGGCTGATACTTCAGTCTTGTTGGGTTTGATGGGGGTTTTGTTTCCTTTCTTTTTGTTTTCGTTCTTTTCACGTGTTTGAGCTGTGTCTGATGTCTATCACATAGTTAAGCTATGAAGATAATATCTGACATGTCTGAGCCACCATCACCACAGCCACTCCCGTCACCCATACTTCTAACAGTCCTCAACCCAAACACACTACCTAACCCTTCTCTTTCAATGCTGACAGCACCAAAACACTGCAAGTAGTAAAACTTTACTTTCAATTAAATGGAAATAGTTTTAGGCTATAGGTTTTTTTTTTCTTTGTTGAAAGTTACTTTGCAGATACCATTGTCTACATAAACGCTTCATGTCAAATGAAAAAATGCATTTCTGATGGCCTCACTGACTTAACTGTGCATTTGGGAAATGTTATAAATCTGCAAATACATGAGGAGAAAACATCTGACACCAAACTTATCTCCTACTTGTCTCAGTCAAGGCTGAGGAACGTCACAGCCTCAGCCATAGAAATGTTTGAACTTTCCATTCTTCTTACTCCCCTCTTTGCACACATCTGGTGCTCAGGCAGGCAGTTGTCATGGGAATAAGCAGCTAAGCCAACAGTGTTGCATGTCGCTGTGCAGGGGGAGAAGGGCTGATCGGGGTTCAGCTGGGCATGCCGTGGGCGCAGCAACTCAGCAACCAACCCCCACCTGCCTTCTCTCTGCTGTGACTGAACACAGCTGACCTCCCCTGGCAAAGACCTGATCCCTAACCCCCCTCCTCCAGTCTGCTCTGCTCTGCTCGGCCACCCTATCACAGCTGAGAGGAGAGCGTGCAGAAATTGATCTGTTACTTGGTAGCTGATAATTAAATAAAAAGTACTCTTTTTTGCTATTGCAACTGGGTCACTCTCTCACTTTTAAAACTCCCTGCTTACGCTCCGTTTCTAACTTCTCCTTTAATCTGCTGTGCTCGACCGGCTCTTTTCTTTACTTTCTCTGTTGAAGGAGAGGTTGGGCAATCACTACACAGCACTGTGAGTTCCCTTTGTTTACCAAGAGCAACCCAGCAGAGCGCAGTGCTTTGTTGAGCAGCAGTCACTTGCGGCCTCACAGCTGTGTCACACGCGCACACACACACACACACACACACACACACACACACAGCACACACACACACACACACACACACACACACACACACACACACACACACATGCGTGCACAGAACTGAAATCTCTGACTCACAAACACTAGCAGTATCCTGTGGTCAAGGGGAGGGATTTAAATCCTCCAAGCACAGCACATGAACCTGCTGAACTTGTCCTCTCTGTCTCCTGCTGGCTATTGTTCTCCCCTCTACATTTTCCAACTTTATCACTTTTTCAAAATCTTCATAGTTTGTCCACTACCATTTGGACCCAATTAAAAGATACACCCTGTAAGCCTGCACGCAGCAGGCAGCTGTCTCTCCCCACGTGTGAAAATCCATGCACTTGGCATGTAGCTGAGAAAGACACAAGCCCAGCCTAATTATGATGGGGGGTGTCACTCAATAGACAGTACATAAACAAGTGGGGTCATTGTTGGGAACTAATTGGCAGGAAAAAGGTTCCTGTAGCTAGATAAAAATAAGCAGTCACTGTGGTTTCCTGAGGACACACGAGGAGCCCTCTGCACTGGTACTGCCTGTGGTGTTCAGTAATGAGAGAAGAGCTCGCCCGATGCCCAGTTTCCAGACGCACTGTCTTTGCAAGCAGGCAGCACGCATAAAGGGCTGGATAAAGCCTCCGAGCTACAGAACCGGGCCAGTTCAGTGGGTGCGTTTTTTTTTTTTTACCTAGCAGGTTGGCAGGGCGCCAGAGATGTCAGGCAGGCAGCCTGTCTTGTTAGCACACCTCACCTTGATAACAGTAGTGTAGGGAGAGGGATGAGGCCGAGGAAGAAAAACAACCAGCACACCAGGGGTGGGGCTCTGGGACAACTGTGTGTGTGTGTGTGTGTGTGTGTGTGTGTGTGTGTGTGTGTGTGTGTGTGTGTGTGTGTTTGTGCGAAGGTTTCAGTGCATGTGTCGGCTCACGCAATGGACCTCCTCCAAACAGTAACAACTGCAAAAACATTGGGTAGAGTGTTAAACTCAGGGCAGTTTTTCCGAGCTCATGTTTCACAACAGAGCACCAGGGCGCTCCCTCCCTCTCTTTCTCCTTTTCTTTCTCTCTCTGACTTTTTTCTCTGGTTTCCCATCCCCCACTTCCCTGGTTCTCCTTCACTTCTTTTTTTTCTCCCTTATTGGCCCTGTTTTTCCACACTCCTTGACTATCTGTATGTCTATCACATACACAAACACACTAAACTTCTCAACCCCTCCCCTCCCCCCGCCCCCACCTCCATCCTTACATACATGCGCTCCTTGCCCTCCTCCCCCTCCCTCTCTTGCTGGCTGTTGTTGCTGACTGACAGTGCT